GCACCGCACCGCACCGCACGGCACGGCACGGCACGGCACGGCACGGCACGGCACGGCACGGCACGGCACGGCACGGCACGGCACGGCACGGCACGGCACCGCACCGCACCGCACCGCACCGCCACGCCACGCCACGCCACGCCACGCCACGCCACGCCACGCCACGCCACGCCACGCCACGCACGCACGCACGCACGCACATTCTATATTCTATGTATTACGTATATACACACACGCACCTATACTGACCTATTCATACATTCAGATAGATAGATAGATAGATAGATAGGTAGATGGGTGTATATAGATATGTAAGAATATGTTGTCTACACGCATGCAAATATTATATATATACACACATACACATACACATATATGTATATGTATATGTATATGTATGTGTATGTGTATATGCATGCCTACATACATATCAATACAAATAAAGGTGTACAGATACCTGTAAACATAAATACCAAGGCAGATGTGTGTATATGCTAAGTGCTAAGAAAAAATATTCATAATTATGTTTGTGTATATATATATACATGCATATATACATATGTATAGTTGTATATACATACATTTACAGACACACACTCACACACACACACGCGTATATATATATATATATACATATGTATGTATGTATGTATGTATGTATGTATGTACGTATACATGATATATATATATATACATATATATATATGTATATTCATATTTATTTGTGTATATATACATACATATATACATATATACATATATATATACGCATACATACGTACATGCATACATACATACATACCTACGTATGTATGTATGTATGTATGTATGTATGGCTTTGGCTCAAGCCATTTTGGCTCAAGTTCGTGTTGGATGCCCCTGAGACCCCGCCTCGACGTAGCCTTTCCCTGCAGGCTTCCCGCGCCGGAGGTATATCCCTCCTTCTTTGAGTGCCTGGAGGTATATCCCTCCCTGAGTGCGTTGCTCAGGAGGTCTATCCCTCCTTACAGACATGAAAGCCGGTGGTGAGGAACTGCGTGCCACGCTGGCAGACGACGATGCTCCGGCACTGGTGAATGTTGATGATGAGATTGATGATCGTGCTTCAGGTCTGCCGCACTTTGCTTCTGCTGCCCATCCCACAGGACCTGAGGATTACCAACATACTACGAAACCTAGCCCGCCCCCCGTGTCTTTGCCGTCGGCAGCGCTTAAACCCCCCGAGCCCCACCCCGTTACAGGGGGTCTTCAGGCCTATGTGCAACAGGCGGCTTTGCAACTCGAGGAGAGCCCTCTGCATTCTTCCAGAGGCCCCTCGGCCCTTGATGCTGATGCTACTGCAGCCCTCCAGGCTGCACTGGGAGGACATATGGATGTTGACCCTAGGGAAAAGAAAACCCCCCCTAGTTCCTCACCCACTAGTCCCGACAAGCGCCCGCGCCGCCAACAACAAGCCCGTGGCTCAGGCTTGCAGTCAAAACCTATGTTCGGGGCGCCGCAACCCCCCAACGCTGGCCTTACGCCTGTACCCACCACATCACCCCAACATCACCACATTGGTGATGAACCCGCCTGGCTCTCAGGTTTCCGAGACAGCCTTCTGGCTGACATGAAAGGCATGCGTCAGGATCAGAGACAAATCCTGAATACAGTCCAAGAACAGAGAGAAGAGTTCAAAGTGGTTGGACAGCGCTTAGACCGTGTTGAGGATCGTAACGACCAGCTCTCCAAGGCACAGCTGGATTTGAGCAGGAAACTCGATGCCCTGACGACAGAGCTCCAAGAGGTTCGGAGTCGCTCAGTCAGCCCCGCCCCCACACCTCGACGTGGCGAAGGACGCGCGGGCACAGGTCAAGCCCCCAGTACGGGGGTTGGGTCAACCGCCCCCGGAGGGCCTGTCATTGATGATTGGCAGCTAGTATTGGGAGGGTATGTGGACGCTAAGAGGGAAGACATTCAGCAGGAAATCCGCGAACTTTTCCAAGCTGCCGAAGCCGTGCCCCTTTTACGTAATATCATTACCCCGTATGTCCGTTCCAACATTGCCCGTATCGAGCTGCTGTATGTGGACGACAACCTTGCTGCCCGTAGAAGAGTGCAACAAGCGGTTCTCAACAAACTCCGTCAAATCCTACAGGACCGTGATAAGCGGTCTAACCTTCCATCTCAGACTGGTCAACTATGGATTTCCCGAAACCGCAGCATCGAAGAACGCAATCGGAACCGAGCTATCCTGGGCCTCAGGGACTACGGGAGGAGATTCCTCTCAGATAGTGAAGTCGATTTTGATTGGAAAGGTCGGGTTTGGTACCGCGGAGCGCAGGTGCTGTTCCACGCAGACAGAAACACGCCCGCGCCACAGGCCCTCATGATGCTTGATGCCAAGGGAAATGAGAGCGGCTGGTGGACCAACCCGGAAATCATCTCTCGGGTCCTAGGTATGGACCCTCAGCAGGTCCGCGATGAGCTCAGCTCGTAGGGTTCAGGGCGGGGGCGCTCCACACAACACCGTAATTCACTCACATGCACGTGCGCAACCTGGAATTTACATGGAAAGTCTTTAGAAGCCCTTGCCAACGTTTTCGAGCAGCTTGCTGATGCACCCGACGTTTTACTCCAAGAACTTGGCGGTCTCCCCAGTTTGGGTGTGGGCCACACGACCACTAAGGATCTGAGCCTGAACGGCACGGAATATGTGGTCTACTTGCATAACCCCCCGAAAAGCCACCTTGCAGTTGCCATTTTAGTGAATTCGGAACTTAATCCCTCGACCCCACTGCTTGTCCCCTTGCCCGCAGGACTGTTTTTGCAGCTCAAAGTTGGGTCTGCTCCTTTTGCCCTTTCGACCATACATCTGCCTCACGACCAACGGGAGGATGCTTTTGATGTATGGACTTCCACTCTTGAACAACTTACCCAGGCCCTGGGGAATGTTCCGGTGGGACACTCGGTCTTTATTGGCGGGGACTTCAACCAGCCCCTCCACACGACCCAGGACACTTTCTCACCCATGGCTCAGTTGCGTCTGCTCATAGCTCGCTTCCGCCTCAGAGCCTCAGAAGATGTCGGACCCACCTGGCATGCCCGGGGGCTGGAAGCACCTTTGGACTTCATCCTTTTTAGGCATGAGGGCATGTTAGGCTCGGCAACTAAATGCGAGGACCTCAGAGTGGCTCTGCCCTCGGACCATGATCTAGTCTCGGTATTTTTCCAGTCCGCCCCTCAGGCGCGCAACCGCAACAGGACGCGACGGGACCGATGTGGTAGATGGTGCCTGCAGACGGAGAACTGGGAACATGCTTTATCCCAGATGCCGGATGACCCAACGGAGGCTGACCTTGCGTCTGCCTTCAGCTCCTGCTCCTTCCGGCCTAAGTTCCCGAGGTATCGAGACTCAGAATTCATCAAAGACCTTATTCGTCGCCGTAAGGTCTCGGTGAACCCAGATGAACGTGCAGCCCTGGCACAAGAGATCGCCTATCGTAGAGCCGAAGACAAGGCCTCCTTTAAGCAGGCCATACTTGATAGAGCCCGAACAGGTGACTTTGCAGCCATTTCGCACCTTCGGCGAAGCGCTGCGCAAACCAAGGTTGCGGGCAGTTATATACAGGCCCGTGGAGGCCAAGACGCTGCTACAAAAGAACTTAAGGCTTTCTATGATGTCAAATACGACACAAAGGGACCGGGACCCTCCGATGTCCTCATTGATGCTTTGCGAGATCGACACCACACCCCCTCCCCCACCCCCTTTTCCCTTGACGAGGTTCGTACTGCCTTACAAGGAGCCAAAACAGGGACTGCTGCGGGCTCAGATGGAGTTACCTATGAGGCTCTGCTCGCTTTTGCAGCCTCAGACAAGGCCTTCAAACTGGTTAATCTTCTTAACTCCTATTTTTCCGGGGCTCGCCCCATACCACCTCATTGGAAGCAAGGTTCAATTTGCTTGCTCCCCAAAGTCTCGCAACCAGGGGGGCCCGCTGACCTGAGGCCCATCGCTTTGACACCCTGTCTTTGTAAAGTCTACTCTAAACTTCTTTTGAACCGCCTTGAAGAATCTTGGCCTGCTTTCCAGGCTGGACAGTTTGCCTGTAGAAAGGGCTCGCAGGCAATTGATGGAGCCGCGGCCGCATCCTTACTCCTCCAGATCGGGAGTGCCCGCCTCCAGCATAGGCCGGTGGTTGCTAAGCTGGACCTCAAAGCTGCTTTTGATTCCTTGTCACATGACTCCATTTTAAAATACCTTATGCAGGTCCGACCTAACCATGCTACCTGGGCATTATGGCAGCTATGCCAGGACTGCGAGGTAAGTCTCCGCCTCGGTTCGGACTCCTGGAGCACACCGACGAAGCGAGGGGTCCTTCAGGGGACTGCATATTCTGCCATCCTTTTTTCGAGGGTTGTTGATTCTTTTTTGGGACCCCTTATTCGCTCTTGGGAACGGAGATGGCCCTCTTGGGAATTGCCACACCTCTTGCTGTATGCAGATGATATTCTCGTTGTGGCCAGAGGACCTGAAGACCTGCAGTTCAAGGTCCAACAGGTAGCTGATGTACTCTCCACCCTAGGACTTCAGGTCAACCGCGCCAAATGCTCCGTCCTCGATACACCCGACGGCTCAGGACCTGGCGTCTGGCTCAGAGGGAGTTGCACCCCCCTCAAAACTGAGAGACACCTACTGTACCTGGGTGTTCCTTTGTCCTATGACTTCAGACCAATGACATGCTTCGCAAAGAGTCTGGGCAAATGCGCTAACACCTACTTTGCCATGCGAGGAATTTTTAATGCCCGCCGTCTCCCCGCAGTCCGCAAAGTCAAGCTTTTCGATTTATATGTGACTTCCAGGTGGTTGTGGAGCTGCGGCTTGTGTTACCCCACACGCCAAAGTCTGAAATCTCTAGATGCTCACCAGAACACGCTCCTGGTAGGCCTCCTCGGGTTCAGGGCCGATTTTTTCGGCGAATTCCTGCAAAACACTGTCTCAAAACGAAGGGCAGCCAGAGCGACCCTAGCAGCCTTGCAGATTGATCCCTGGAGCAAACGCTGGGCCACGCAGGCCTGGCGTTACTGGGGCCATGCTGTGCGAAACCAGTTGGACACCCCTCTTCGTTACCTCGCGTGGCGTTACTCCACCTTTACCCTGATGTCGGGGGATACCTCGCCAGGCTGGGTTGTTAACGCCCCCCTCAAGAAATTTCAATTGTGCTTTGGCATGATTCGCTCCGCCTCGCGCCCGGCTATATGGGAAACAGCTGCTCAGGACAGAGTCATGTGGCAACAGTTATACCCGCTCTGGAGATGCCACTGGGCGAGAGATCGACTCAACACAGACTTGTTGGGCCGCCAACTGGTTATCATCAACCTCGAGGAGGCCGCCCTCAGACCCTTCCGATTCTTTCCTGAGGAGGACTACATCAACTCCATCTGCTACATACACCCCATCAGTAACATCCCCTCAGGAGCCCTCTTGTGGGCACAGTGCGACGAGGCTGGGGTCAGCGTCGCAGTGATTCCCCCGTCTCGGGAGGAAACACAAGCACTTTTCCTGCAAGAAAGACATCACCCCACCCAAACCTCCGAGAATGCCAGAGCCCTGCATCTTTGGCTCCTCGTGGGCTATTTACATGACACATCTCCCCAAGCCCAAGGCTTACCCATTGCCATGCCCTCTGTTTGCACGCATCCTTGTGTCCTTACAGGAGAGATCAGTTTGAGCCTGCGCTTGCGCTACAACACTTTTGATCGACAGGACCAGCAGCATGACCTCATCAGACGCACCTTTGTGTACGGGACGAAGGACGCCACTAAACATTTCCCCAACCTCGCCAACTCCTGCGTCGGCCCCTTTCCCCCTGGGCATAACAGGCTGGTAAGAGATGGCAGTTTCACGAACTGCAACTTCTCTGTCAGGTCCGTGGTCTAGGCGGAGGGATGGGGGGGGGGGCAGGGCGGCCATGAATTTCCCTCTGTTGTTTTTGCCCGAGATCGCCCTCCTGCGAAAGCCATGGAACTGCCGGGTGGTTTCGTGATACCTGGGGCTCCCCACCTTCGCGACTTCCCACCGCTGCTGCCACGACGTGTGTACGACGTCCTCGACACGGTGCCCCCAAGGATGTCATCCCTACTTGCTGCACGGATGCGCCTATACATACGTGATATGCGGGTCTCCTGGGGATGGTTCTGTGCTACCCTCTTCGAGCTCGAGGAGTATGCGAGCGACCTCGACCGGGTCCTTCGTGAAAACGATACCCTCGACCCCGATGATCCCCCTCTCTCAGAAGACGATGTGTCCTACATGCATTTCTTGCTGGCAGAATGGGAAGTTTCCTTCGACCACAGTTGTGAGAATGTGGTGTGGTTCTTCTTTAATGCTCATCTCCCATGTTGGCGAGTGCTTCTCGGCCCAGCAACCACCCAACGACTCCGTGAGTAGCCCCGCCATGGCTGGAATCGCACAGATTGTGGGGATGGTGCATCTTCCGCACCTACATCCCTTTTTCGCCCTCCAGTCGGATGAACTCCACCAGTACTTGGACGATCTGCCAGCCTTGGACCAGTGCCTGGCAGCCAGGGAAATCCAATATCAGTTCAGATCCTGCCGAAACACGTGGCCAGAGTACTGGTTCTTGCCAGCGCTGGCCCGCTACATCGACAGCCATTTGGACGTCCTGTATGAAGTTCCCCTCTGGCCATATCAGGAGCCCGCCGAGAGCTTCTGGGACCGACGCTTTGACATGGTGGGAGATCGGCTCAAACAAGAGGTTTCGGAGCTTGTCTCCCGCTTCGAGATGACCTGCGAATTCATTGCATGGAACGAGTTCGGAGCGCACTTGACTCCATGGAGCTTGCTTTTAACCCAAGCGACATGTCCAGCACTGAGAGAGTAGCTTCCCTTGCCGTACTGAACACCTGCTTTTTGGGCATCAGCCCCCTGCCTGATCGAGACCTTGTGAAAATTGACTCAATGTGCACTGCGCTTCGGTAACCTTGATGCTGAGATTTGCCCTGCAAGCAAGAAGGTCTGATTAGAGCCCAAACCCTCATGCACCGCAAGCCTCAGCTTTTCAGCTCCTGACAGAGTCAAACATGGCTCCCATGTGGCACCTCAAACCAGGTCCCTGCAGTCTTGACTTGGGTGATGCTGACGACGACGTGGTGAATGACACTGTGCATGAGCCGCCTACTCCCCCCGATGTCTCCCCCTCCACGCCCACCAGGGTTTTTCTGATTGATCCAGATTCAGAGATGGAAAAATGTGATCGGGAATGGGTCGGCGATAACTCCATTCACAACCCTCTGACTCCCCGTCTTCGACCCCGGGATCCCCATTTCGGGTTTTCAGAAGATGCCCTGCTTCGACCCATCGAGATCAAGAGCTGCCGAATCTATCAGCGTGATGAGGCTCCCAAGTAAGGCACACGAACTCTTAGATCTTTTCTTGACGATGCCGTTGTCATACTTGAGAAGAAGGACAGATCCTGAAACAGGCCTCAGCGTTGAGTACCTTCTCTCTGGAGCCTCCCCGAGATCCACCGGGGACATCTTGAGTCACTGTTCTGAATGTCCGTATTTCACGTTAGTAGTGAACAAGTTTCTGCAAACCATTGCTCCATACCATAGGTTTTCCACCTACGTGATCAGGAGCGGTTGTGTCAGCCGTGTTCACCGTGACGTGCGGAACGGGCCTTACCCCTCCCTAGTGATCAGCCTGTCGCAAACCGGGCAAGGCGATGGGATTTGGCTCCACGACCCTCTCGGCAAGACCTTTAAAAACTTCGGGGCAAAGTGCCTCCCTGGAACTGTGACCCCCATCACGGCACCTTTCGTGTTCGACGCCCGAAAGACCCTCCATGCTGGACACGTGGCCCATCCAGACCGCATCCCGAGTCGGGTTGTACTCATTGCATTCACGACCCTTACTCTAACACAGTTGCAGGTTGTCCCCCGCGCGATACTCTGTGGCCTAGGCTTCCCCCTCCCTCGCCCGAGTGACCCGCACAGTCATGGACCCATGAATGATTTTGGTGCCCCTCTAAGGGAACGTCAGCTTAGTCTCAAGGAGGCCCTCGACATGTCTGCCCGCCAGTCCCGTCAGCACGACGTGATTGAGGTCCTGGATAGCCAAGACTGAATGATGCCTTTCACTTAGGTGCCACCTGTCAGGTCACGCCGACGTGTGTAAGACACGACGGGATGCCCCCCTTTGCCTTGTTTTGCCTGAGCTGCTTACCTTGCCCTGCCTTCACCTCCTTGCCCTTCCTTTCGATTTTCTGTTGGACTGCACTGTGCTGCTTGCTTATTTTAGGTCCTCCCTTTGTTTCCTTTTAGTATGTCCAGCCTTGCTTCGGGGTTCGGGTTTGACTTCTGGTTTTCTTTAGCCCTTGGGGGTTTTTCGATTGTTACTTAACTGATGCCCCCTGAAGCCAAAGCCCCGATCAGCCTGCCCCAACATGGATCCCCCCGAGCCATGGGCTCGACAGCTCGCTGACTGGTACGTGCTGCTCCCTGAGGGCTGGGTGACGGCCTGATCTAGGGGCCTCTTCAGGTCAACCCTTCCCTAGGCTCCTCAGCCCCTCGTAGCCGGGACCTCAGTTTCACTTGATCGCTGGGCCCATACTTGCAGGACAAATGCGCCAGATCGTTAGGCATTTATGTCACTCCTACGTAGCCTTAGCCCCTGTCGTACCCGACCCGGGGGTTTTAGTGTTTTGGGTTGAGGGTTTACCTGTGTCCCGCTTGGATTCCGGGCTTCCTTGCGGGTTTTCTGTCACCTGGGTTTGGTAAGAAAAGCTGCCACAAACCGAGTGCCCTCCGTGAAGTACTGCCCCACATCGCATCGGTTTAAGTTCCTTTGCCCTTAGGACTACAGTGCCCGGTTCATGTGAGATGGATAGTTATCGGAAAGCCCAAACATGACACCATGTGCCCTCGCTCTGAGCCCAGGTTTCCTTGGCCTACTACTATTATACTAGTGCCTTCTTAGCAACAAGAAGTACCAGGGGACAAGCGCTCAATAGTTGACAAGAAGTACCTGGGACCGCAGCGCTCATCCTAAGAAGTACCTGCGGGCGCTCAACCAAGAAGTACTCGGTCCTAGGCGCTCACCAAGAAGTACTTGTCCTCCTGGCGCTCACCCTTTAAAATTAGAACTAGTGACTATTTTTGTCCTTTCACCCTTCATCTGTAATTGTTTCACATGCCTTGCCTCGCACTGTCCTGCCTTTCATTTCGTGACTGTTTTCTTGTCTTGCCATCCTGCAGCCGTACTTGCTTGCTTCACTTGCCCTGCCTTGCACTGTTCCGCCTGCTCATGGAACCTTTTTGCCTTGCCCCTGATGCTCCCCCGCGCCACCTCACTGCACTCCCCGACTGGATGCTATCTTGGCTCCTCCTCGGACTCGTCTTGGTGATCAGTGTCTTCACCAAGAGCCTGCTGGCCTTATGGGCCCAATGGAAGGAGATGCGGCAGGACCAAGAAGACATCCGGAAAACCTTGGCCGAACTATGTGCCCAGATGACGAACATGCAAAGCCTGCTCCAGCAGGCGGTGTCACAGCAGGCCTCGCCCGTGCTCGCTGAACCGCAATCCTTTCTGCAGCCTCTACTTCTCGAGAAATGGAGGGAAACGAGAACTGATCTCTTTCAGACGGTCAGGCTGTTCGGGTTGGAAGTGCAGGAATTAAAAGAGAAGACCACACAGCTCTTCCCTTTGTTTGCCTTGATGAGGAAGTCTGTTCTGCCACTGCATGCAGACATTCCTGAAGCACTCAAGACCATGAACGAGCACCTCGGGAACCTCAGAGATAACGTAGACAGTTTGACTACTGAAGAGCACGGGGTTTACGAAGCCGCGACCCAAGCAGTGATGAATGCTCTCAAGTCTCTGGAAGACCGCCTTTGGCGGGCACAAAAGGAGTTTAAGACTCCTCTGGCCGGAGCCCAAGCAGCTATGACCCATCCATCGGAGCCACAATCCAAACAGCGCCCGGCGCCCCTCAGGGAGTGCCGTCAGGAGCCAACGTGATCAACCTCAGTCCTCCTGCGCAACAGGACACTGTCACCGTATGGATGGACGGCCGTGCTTTCCAGATCCCGACAAAAATTGTCAGGGGGATCAACTGAACTTTGGTAATCTTTTGCACTGTTTTTGGGCCCCGGCCTCTGGCCCCGCCCCTTGTAACATTTGCACTGCCTGGTCACTGCATGCACCCCTTGAAAGAGATTGCTTTGCAGAGATTGCTTTGCTACAGGCTGAGTGGTTTGCCGGAGTGCGATGCCTTGTGTCCCTGTGCTGAGGAGAACTGGTCAGAATGCTGCAGCTTTCCAGACTGAACTTTACATGTTAGCATGCTGCCTTCAAACCCTTTGCACTGTTTCTGCACTGCTTGCACTGTTTTTGGGCTTCCTTCCTTGCCCTTTCCTTTCCCTCCGTTTAGTCTCTGCTTGGTGCTTCTGCTGCTCCACCTTATGTCGTCTGTCTGTCGATGCATCCTTGATGGGTGATGATGATGTAATTTTACGACACACGGGCGACGAAGACGACAGCAGAGGGTATATCCCCTCCAGGACTGCACCCTGGCACGTGCGGAACCGCGGGGAGCCTAGTAGTCGTAGAACCCTAACCCCCTCGCCATGGCCGGCAGTGATGACTGCCTCAGGTTTCATGAGGCAAATCGCAGGAGGCCTCGCTTCGGTACAGCCGCAACCATGTGAGGCCTGACGTGCTACCTCTGAATGGGCCCTGCCGTTATTTGCTGTGCAAGAGAACGACGAAAGCTGACGACTGCGCTGGATCCGAGAAGATTGGTGTGCTGCCTCTGCATAGGCCCCGTCGCGATCTGCAGACCATGCGAGCCATGTTTTTTGTGGCTACATGCACTGCCGCCGACGTGGGATACTTCGGTGCAAAACCCGGGCAAGCTCATGACACACTCAGTGTTCGTGACAGCTGTTGACAGTGAGCATGCTGCCTCGGTACGGCCCCGCCGTTGTTTTGGTATAAGCAAGCCATGACAGTCGATACCGCACTGGATCTGAGACGATGGGCGTGCTGCCTCTGCATAGGCCCCGCCGCTATCTACAACCCCAAGCGAACCACGTCTTTTTGTGGCTGCAATGGATGCTGCCAACACGGGATGGGCCCCGCCGTTATTTGCTGTGCAAGAGAACGACGAAAGCTGACGACTGCACTGCATCCGAGACGATTGGTGTGCTGCCTCTACCTAGGCCCCGCCGCGATCTGCAGTCCATACGAAACATGTTTTTTTGTGGCTACATGCACTGCCGCCGACATGGGATACTTCGGTGCGAAACTCGGGCAAGCTCATGACATATTCAGTGTTCGTGGCAGCTGTTGACAGTGAGCATGCTGCCTTGGTACGGCCCTGCCGTTGTTTTGGTATAAGCAAGCCATGACAGTCGTTACCTGCACTGGATCTAAGACGATGGGTGTGCTGCCTCTGCGTAGGCCCCGCCGCTATCTGCAAACCCCATGCGAACCGCGTCTTTTTGTGGCTGCAAAGGATGCTGCCAACACGGGCTACTTTGGTGCAAAAGTTAGGCAAGCTTGCCCCCGACACAGAGGAGACCTCGCCGGAAGATTCTTGTGGTCTGCTTGGACTGGCGATACACGATGGTGCAGCGGGAATGAAGTCGGCATATAGCTTGTTTTCTCCCAATCGGACTGGAGCTGGATGTTAGCAGTGGGCATGTTCGCCATCGTCATTGATGGGATGATTCCGCTGCTACTTTGACGGTGGTCGTCACCGGCCAACCATGCGGGCCGTGCGCCGCTGGGCGAAGGGAGGTTAGCCTTGTCCGAAATGAGCAGATGAGTGAGTCCGCGAGGCCTTAGACAGGGGCTTGAGAGCGAGGAGGGAGTGCACTCCCTGTTGTCATCTACTGATGGCCTCGCGAAAATTGCGGGTGCTGTGAGCTGTTGACCCCCCCTGTCCCCAAGCTGAAGCTCTTGCTGTTTGAAGGTTTTGTGCTCGGAAATGGTACCGAAGCTGGCAGAAACTGCTTGCTGGAGACTGTGGTCGAAACGACCCTGGTGGCTGTGATTTCGTTGGCCAATGGCCACTCTTTGTAGTCTGGTTCCCCCTATACCTCGCCTGACTCGTCGAGCGCGAGNNTGTATGTATGTATGTCATGTATGTACACACAACATAGAGAGACGTGCTTTTGTTGCACGAATAGGTACATGCACACATCTGTGCAGACACATGCGCACACATACACACATTAGTATATACGTCTGTTTACAATTGCGTACATATGCATGAATGTTTACATAGAATAGACGATCGAGGAGGACAAGGTATCAAAGCAAAGCGAACCAGGCTTCAGCTCCGCGACCTCCGCCTGCGGCCGGGCCATGCGCTGGGATCATGCCTTGGACCCTTGGTTTCTGTGCAGAAGTCGTGCTTCGGGGTTGGATGCCGGTGGGGATAACAGGGTTCAGGTTTTTTCAGAGCTTAGGAATCTGGTGCGTTCGATTGATTGTGCATCCAGTTTGCTGTGGTCGCCAGGGTTGGCAAGGCATGATGCGTAGTTTTGAAATGTGTGAGTCCGAGCCGTCCTTGCAACCCTCAGACTGCAACAATGCTGTAGTGCTGCGCTGAGCCTTGACATTGCCTAGTAAGGCATGTGAGCAGGAGACAAGAAACAGCAACAAGCTAGCTTCAGAACACTAGTCACCCCAATGTTGTTGGGCCGAAGCCCANNGACGGGAATTGGAGTAGTTTTCAACTTGTAGACAGCGCCTGCCCGCTAGGCATCCAGGTATTGTCAGAGGTCACATGCGAGTTGAAGAGTCGGACTCTTTGTCGTGGGGATGCATTTTCAAGTCTTCGATGTAACAGGGCCACTGGGCTGCCAGGCATTGACCACAAGTTGACGGGGACCACAAGTGTATGCCGATGCTCTCACGGGATCCGAGGCTCTTCTAGCCAGCATGCCGGCCATGCAGCTGGTACCCGCGTCTCGCTGAGGTTTGCGGTGCGGTCGTGAGAGCTGCGTGGGGCAGTCAGGATACATCGCCGAAGCATGAGATGCCGGCAGTGTCAAAGCTGGAACCTGAAGTCAGCATCTCCGAGGATTTCGTGAGCCGCAGCACCGTGGTTGCGGCATGCGCGAGTGCGTTGAGCTGGTCTAAGGCTCGGCCTAAGTTGACGTCCCCAATCCAACATAAAACCCAGGCGAAACTTGGCACTGCCTCTGCAACCAGTGCACTCGACGAAATGAAGCACCGTACTGCCGCATGCTGTCCACATGCAGCACAATGAACGCAGTCGCGCAGGCCCTGTCTATGGCCTTGGCACTTCGTGAAGAGGCCGGGTCTGGCTCTGTTAACATCTGGCTGCAAACCAGGTAAGCTCTGCGATTCAGATTGTAACATTGAGCGCATTGCTCCGCTTTTTTTTCAGTGTATCGCTAAAGCACAGTCGCACGCTTGTTGAGTTCGAATCCGAGCTTTTCAATACGTCGGGTTCTTTGATTTTTGCTCGAAGCGAAGGGCCATTCGCGCGCTGGAGCTAAAGCCCAAGCCGGTTGAACCCCGACACGCATGAAAGGGCCCATCAAAAAACACAACACTTCAAAATTGAGAAGATTAGCTCCGAAGTCTCATCCACTACGCCACCGTGCCAGGCGCCTAACGGGCAGACTCCGAATGGCACCTTCGAGTGCACTCGTCTCGGTGGCGCTTCGGGACTAGTGACTAGTTCTGGTCTACAATAAATCAATCCTTTCCTGGAATGGAAGACGAAAAGCAGAAACGCCGACAGGTTTCGCTTTGCCAACCCCTGAACAAGCTCGGAAACTTATTTGCTTGGCGGCCTCCACTAATACGAACTGAACAGTCATGGCAACAGCTAGCAGCCGAGGAATTCTGTGGGGCGGTGTTCTCAGTGCAATGGCTCGAGCGCGGCAGGCTGTGGCTTTGGGACTGACGTAGCAGACTTGAAAAGGTAAAGTCGCGCAGCCCAGGAACAGCAGGAATGAAATGCCAAGGGAAACAGGGACGAGTTGTGTGAAGCTTTGTTGAGACATTCAATGCTTTTTTGCAATCTAGTCTCTGCTTGTACCTTGAACTCTGCGCTCCTCATTTAAATCTGGGCAAGGTTTTGGCAGAGAGCTGCAATGTCAAGGTTAAGGTGTGTAAAGACAGGGGTCGAAAATCAAAGGAGGGAAGTTTCCAAGAGTTGCCGATCCTGCAAGGAACAATTCCAAGCATTTCCAACCATCGCAGTTGTCAGGGAGTCGTAGCAAGGTGGACATGGTACTGCTTGTATCAAGCTATGCCGGCCACCACAGGAGTTGCGACACGAGCGCGGCTTCTCATGGCCAAGCAGAGCGTAAACTGAAAACATATATAATTGCTGATACGGTTGATGCTGCCAGTGGTACTACCTGGATGGCATGACAACCACTGCGGTCAAAATCAAGAGAAGGGCGGTGATAAGCATGAGCTCATTCAGAATGATGGTAGCAAGTTCGGCACAGTGGTGGTCTCATTTTTTGGCAAGTTGCGCTTACACCTCAGGCCCCAGAAACGACGCTTCCTGCAAAACTTTACGATAATGGGCTGAATCTTGAAAGTGCCAAAGGCTCGCTTGCTAGAATCTATTCCGCCGGCGCCAGTGCCCAGTGCCAGCGCCAGCCGGCCCCCTCCAGGTTGATCACATATCTTAAACTGGCCCCCTCCTGTGTGAATTCCGATTCCTCACGTTTCTTAAACCCACCTCCTCATTTGGCGATCCTGTTTCACCACCTGTCTTAAGCCTTTAAGCGTGCCCTCTCATTATAGGCGATCCCGGTTGATCACAATTCCTAAGCCTGCCACCTCATTAGTCGATCCTGGTTGACCACTTCGTTTTAGCACCCCCCTCAATCCAGGTTCTTCACATATCTTAAACGACCCAGATTCAACACATTTTGCTTAAACCCATCTATCATTAGGCCATCCTGGTTGATCACATATCTTACACCCCTCCTTTGGCGATCCCGGTTCATCACATATCTTAAACTCGCCCCCTCCTGCGATCCAGATTCATCACGTGTCTAAATGCGCCCTCTGCGATCCCGGTTGATCTGACCACATATCTTAAGCCCGCCCCCTCATTTGGCAATGCAATTTGACCGCATAGCTTAAACTCCCCCCCTCCCGTTTTGGCGATGCCGGTTGATCGCATGTTTTAAACCCTCCCGATCCTGCATCACTACTTACCTTAGGTACCCCCGTCAGGCGATCCCGGTTGATCACATTTCCTAAACCCGACCCCTCATTCGGCGATCCCGTTTGTTTCATCACATGCCTTAACCCGCCCCTCTCTTTTGGCGATCCTGGTCGATCACATTTCTTAAACCCGCCCCGCCTCATGGCGATCCCGGCTGATCACATTATTAAGCCCGCCCCTCATTTGGCGATCCCGGTTGATCCCGCCCCCTCATTTGGTGATCCCGTTTCTCCACTTATCTTAAGCACGCCCCCTCAGGCGATCCCGGTTGATCACATTTCTTAAACCCACCAACGAGTTGTTGTTCGCCAATAAGCGTCGTCGGACTAGTAACCTCGCCTAAGCTTGCCCGAGTGTGAGTGCTGAAACCCACCCCTTCATTTAGTGTGGCGATCCCGATTCTTCATACGTCTTAAACTATCTGACTATCTTAAACCCGCCCCGTCATTACAGGCGACCCCGATTGAACACGTATCTTCAGCCCGCTCCCTCATTTTGCCATCCCGATTGAGTCCAACCCAGCGCCAGCACCAGCGCCAACGCCCGCCAGCCTTTCCCCACGCAGCGCATGCAGCACCAGCCCAGCCCCAATGTCAACGCCCGCCAGCGCCATTCCTTAGAGGAATGTAGTGCCAGCGCCCGGCAGCCCCATGCGGCCCCAGCGCCAGCGCGCGGAATTAGTCTATCCTCCAATCGAGGACAGTTCATTTGGCAATGTGGGGCAGCGGAAAAGAAAAGCGTAACTTACAAGACACATGTTCGTTTTCTCCTCTCTTTCCGCTTTCCGCCCCCCGATTCCTGGTCTTCTCATCCGGAATCCGAGCCAAATCCCTTTCCGTTCTGCCAGGACACTTCGGAGCTGGCAGAGAGCCTTCGCAGCAGCTGGGGGACCGCAGAGGAGTTGGAGTTGGCAGAGTCTGGAGCAACTGGGATGGAGTGATTTAGGGTTGAGCTGGTGCGTCTTTAGGTCTGTGAGGCGGTCCCTTCAAGTTTTTTGTGCAGGGGATGGAAGTGGATGGATGTATGGACGTACATAAGTACGTATGCGGCTATGTACGTATGTGGGTATGTAAGTATGCAGCTGTGCATGCATGCACACGTGTATGTATGTAAATGAATATATGTCTGTCTGTCTGTCTGTCTGTCTGTCTGTCTGTATGTATGTATGTATGTATGTATGTATGTATGTACGTGTGTATGGCAATGTCTGTATGTACGTATGTTGTGAGCTGACAGAAGTGTCAGCGAGTGCTTGTGCGAGTGCAGCGTAGCAAGTTTTTCTCGCATGTTTGTACATAATTCGAACGCCGGTAACTTTTGGCTCAGGTGCCTTCACCACGGTAGTAAGTAGTACCGGTGCAGTTGCCTGTTGGTTGCTGCCCTGTGGTCTTACCGGGCGCGGGCACGCGTGGGGACTGGAAGGAGCTAAACCTCGCGAAGCCGAAAGCAGTTGCGAGCCCGTGTTTGCTCAGCTTTGCAAGACCGGGTTCTTGGCTTCACAATTCGGGGCTGTTCTGAAAAAATTGCTCCCCAGTTCCCTCTGCGGCCCGAGCTTGTGCTCATCCACTGCGGTCCGGTGTTGGATGCATGAACCTCGTGTTCACGCTCGCGGCCTTTGGGCGCGGCGTGCTGCCGCTGCCGCCCTTCCGGCCAGTCCCGCGGCGATGTCGCGGGAAGTTGCAGGTGAGCCCGAAGGGGCCACACTTTTCGACGCTATCGAGCGGGGCTCGGTGCCATTTCCCGCGAGCATGGGGTATACGGCGTGGTTGAAATGGAGGAGGGAGACGGGTAGCCGGCCCACGAAGAAGCGGGACGGTGTGTCGACTTCCCCAAAAAAGGAGGCGGCTTTGTGGCATAAGGTCATGGGCTTCCTCCACCATGCAAGGACAGGAGGATGATGAAAAAGAGGAGTCTGTCCAAGTTTCAAGGAGCCTCCCGAGGCGTCGGTGGATGAAGGTGAGGATGAGCGGGAGCTTGTTCCTGAGGGGATGACTTCCACACTTGGTCGTCGCGGCTTCCGCCGCGGCCAGGACTCGCCGGGCGGGGCTGTCCGGCCCGCCCCATCTGCGCCTGCAGGCTGAGCTCAGGCCGGCCAGGTCAGGTTGTGCTGGCGCTTGAGGCGCACGGGGTCCAAGTTACTTCGGAAGAGTTGGATGCTCTGAGCACAAAGGCCAGCATCCTGGCGGAGGAGTTCTCGCACGTAGGTGGCGAGTTTCACCATACCCAGATGGTCCGCCATTTGCGGACCAGGTTCTCGGTCGCGGTCGCGGCGCTCTGACAGGGGAGAACCCGGGTGAGGTTCAGGACGTGCAGAAGGAGATTCAGGCCATAGGTGAGCTTATCCTCGCTTTGGCGCGTGTAGTCAGTCAGTGCAGTCCTCACACTTTGACGCTCAGAGTGTCGAAGATGTGGTGTTCCAAGCCTGGCCAAGTGCCCAAGCCCATCCTACTGGCGAGGTCCAACGCCCTGCCTCCAAGAATGAGGCCGTGCCAATCAGACGTGCCCATGCACAAAGATCTCGGGCCCAAGCGTGCATGCATCCGCGGTTTTTTTTTCGCGGAGGGTGACCCGCAGGACAGCCGCACCCTTTTAGGGAACAGGGGCGCCGGAAGCGATACCTACCATGCACAAACTCAGGTGGACCCACTTCTCCAGGCGCCAGAAGAACACACCTTGTCACGTCCCGCCGCTTGATGTAGCACACGGTTAATTCGGCACACATGGAGAAGAGGGCGATGGATCACAGCAGGCAGAAATGCAAAAAAGATGAGTTGTTGCCTAGCTGGGTGGTGCTGATGATGTAAAGTTAGACACATCAAGCAAACATGGAGGGCGGTTGGGCTGGGCTTGTTGTCTTCAGGCATTGACCTTGAGCCAGCCAGGAGGATCCAGGATGGGAGCACCAAAGCACATCATGCAGCATGCACCTTTCAGAATGCCGCAGCATACGAAAACTTGGTGTTGATTCGAAATCTTTCTACCAGCACCAAGTCGCGTCGGCTTGGAATGAAAGTGTGGGCCAGCTGAGGAAGAGCTGGGTGGAGGCCGCGCCTACAGAAGTGCTTCAGATCGGTTTGGGGATCGTTGGAAGTTTAGCAGATAGGGTTTATGGGTTTAGGTTTCTTTGCTCGTCTCGCTGCAAGCAGCCGTGTCGGACCTGCTAAGCAGTCCCTGACAACTTACGTAGCATCAAGGAGTCCCAGCTGCAAAGAGGTTAGGGCGTAAGGTATCTGGGTTTGAGAGTTTGCTTTTCAGTTTGTGCACCATTTGCGCGATTATTGCCGGCTCTCTGGCTCTGGCGATGATGATCTCATAGCTGCTCTTCCCGTCTATACGCCTTCGTAGACCTTGCATGGCGGGGCTGATTTGTGCCAGTTTAGATGCCATATCACACGAATCAGGGCGCCTCGCCTGCTTCTGTTGAAAAAGTTTGTATCTCGCTCAATAAGGGGCAATCCGCTCCCTGCCTCAGCCCCCATTGTGCAAAAAGCAATGGCACGAAGAACAACCGTCAAGATAGCACTCCAGCCTCAACGGCTAGCCTTGTTAGACGTTTCAACTAGACACCGAGGAATCTCATATTTAGAGGCCCCCTTGAAGAATATAGACTCTGAGCCGTGCAGCCTGGTGCAGAAGCAAACCCTAAAGGCCTTGAACCCTGGGGAAGCCTTAAAGCCGTGAAGACCCCGTAGTGGATTCCTTGAAGGAAGCCGAGCTCGCAGGCCTGGGTTACATCGGTGCTGCTCCCGGGATTCTGGCGGTGGCGAAGCCAGCGGGGCTCCTTGGATTTGGGCTCGGGGTTTCGGGGTTTCGGGGAGGGCTTGGTGGTTTAGGGCCTGGTTTTGTTCAAAATCCTAAACCCACAAAGCCATTATTGGTTGTTGATCGGTAATTGGCTATGCTCATGAATAGGTGTCCTGTGACGCTTTGGTTGATCCGTCCTGATGTCTGTGAGCACTGTGATGGAGCATCGCATGGCATCCTGTGAATCCGTCTTACTACGACCTGTCGTGAAGCATTGTGAAGCGTTGCAAACTTTGAAAGTCTCTGGGACTGTAGCCTCTAGGAATTTTTTGGGCGTCGGCGTCAGGAGTTTAAGGTCAGCGGATGTCATAGTGAGGTAGCGGTTGGGAGTACGGTAGGGGTCTTTCGGGGTTGGGGCCACGGGGTTTTAGAGGTTTGAGGCTTCAGGGGTGGGGGGTACCCGGGTACCCGGCAGTCGCAACAGGTTCTTGGATTCTGGATGCAAAGAAGGGCTGTTTACGGCTGCATAGGGCTGCAGTGCCTCAGCAAGTCAGGGTTTAGGATCTGCAGGCTTCAAGGTTTAAGGGTGTAAGGATTTGTAGTTTTCAGGGAGCTGCTTCGGGCTTTGATTCTTTCGGGTTTCGGGGTTCAGCGTCAGGGGATTTGGGGTTTCAGGTTTTCCGGGCTCGGAGCTCTGACCAGATCAGGGCTGAGCAGCTCTTAAAACAAATTGCGTTTCGGCTCCTTAAACCCGGCGCACGGTCTCGAGCTTGAGTTCACGCTTCCTATCTTTTTGCATCCAAGGATCACCTCTGAGGCTGTGGCCTTGATGCATCTAACGGCTTCTCATGTTCGACCAAAGTGTTGTTCTCGATTGGCATAGATTTTGCAGTGCATTTTTGACGCTGCTTCGTTGAAGGGCTTCGTCTAGTCCTGGTCTTTCTCACGTCCAAACTCTGGGATGCATGGGACCTGCACTGCCCGAGGTCATGCAGCTGGTGTCAAGGCTTGGGTCAAGCTGTGCTGGGATTCTGGGAGGTCTGCGGTTTAGACTGCTGGCGATTGCTCTGCACGTGGGGAACTCAACAGGTAAACCTACAGAACCCTTAATTCTGTGGCCAGAAGCCTTCCTCGACTGGAGGCTACCACGAATAGCACCCCAGTCGTCAACCCAGCCGTCAGGCAAGATGCCCAGCACCCGCCAAACTGCGGTCTGCGGCTTTGTGCAGGTGGCTGGCACAGCGAGGCTTCAATGCCGAGATCATGAGGCCCGGTATCATTATTTCTTTAGAGAGGAAGGGAATGGCCGCGCGGGGCTGCGGCTCTGCTCTTGCAACAGGACTCGGCATCCTGGTAAGTATTCTAGCTACGGATGTGCTCAAGAACCGAGCAAGACGGCTAGGTCCCAGCATGCATGGTCCGAGATGTTCCGAGTTTTCCAGTTGATGAGCACCTGTGAGACAAAATTGATGCGAGCTTTCTGGAAGCCACTATTCATTCGATCTTGATGGAGAGATTGTTAGAGAGCAGTGCAAAGTCCGAGAAATGAAAAGGCAACGGCGGGATGCCTCGCTTTTCGGAATTCTGGGTCAGAGACATGTCTGAGGGCACTTGGGTCTTCTGGGATGGAGGGAAATCAGAGCCATCAACGCCAGACTCTCCCGTCTGGATGCACCGACCTCTGGTGTGCTGCCCGTGGCCATGGCCCCAAGTGGATCAGGCGCCGTGGTCACGTCTGGGGCTCAAATTGTGGTTGCACCGGGTTCGCTTGGGATTTTCTTGCAGCTGCGTGTGGGATTCCACGACAATGTAGACCTACAGATCGAATCGAACTTTAGTCATTAGTAGCCTTCCGAGTTGCTGGAGTCCAAGCCACACCAAGCTCCAAACACACAAACTTCCGGAACACTAGACTATTGCCAGCCTTAGCCGACGGAGGAGTGGCGAGCTGGTACCAGCTGCTCTTCGCTGCACGCAAGGTTGTCGAAGGGATCATTGACACGACGACGTACAGCACTGCCTTTGTAGTGGGAAGTTGTCTTGGCTTGTGTGTTAAATTCAAAGATGACGAAAGTGCGCAGAGAGGCAAGGCATTGTGTCTTTCGGACCAGTGGCTCAACCAAGCGGAAGCTATTTGGGCGGCCAAGCAGAGTGGCATTGTTGTTCAGGTTGTTTTTAATTTGTTGCTAACGTTGCTCTGAGCATGTTATAGCTTGTCTTCTGCTGCTGCTGCTGCTGCTGCTGCTGCTGCTCCTCGCAGTTCTTGTTGCTGCTGCTGGTCTGCACATGCATAAACATATATATATATATATATATGTGTGTGTGTGTGTGTGTTTGCGTGGGGGTATGCAATGATATTCATATACATACAGTTTTACATTCGCACGCGAACGAACGAACAAACACACGCACACACCCATACAGATGTATACATGTATGTATGTATGTATGTATGTATGTGTGTATGTGTGTATGTGTGTATGTGTGTATGTGTGTATGTGTATATGTGTATATGAGTATGTATACGTATATGTGTATGTGTATGTGTATTTGTATGTGTATGTATGTATGTATGTTTGTACGTACGTAAGTACGTACG